GGGGGGGGGGGGGGGGGGGGCAAGGGGCAGTGGCGATAACAAATGTCATTGTCTGGGTGGGCAAGAGAGGAAGGTATGTGTCGGTAAACAAGAAACATTATGTAGCAGTGCCATGCCATAGAAGTGTATAATATTGTGGCGAAGGTTAAATATACGTGAGGCTCGCGAGACATGGTTTTCACGACGATCTCGGAGAGTCCTCAAACGTAAATATATGTTTGGACATCACTCTATACAGCACGAGAAACCATTGCTCTACTACATAACTAGCAGTGTGTCTGGTAGATTCGGAGAGCGATGTGTATCACGACCATATGAAAATCGGGTAGCTCTGCTCAATTCTGTCGTTCCGTGTGCTCCTCGGAGATTCAATTAAAGAATGACGAATCATAGAAAGAGAGAGAGAGAGAGAGAGATAGAGAGATAGAGAATTACTTCTCATAAGTGTCAATTCGTATGTGAATAAGCGGAGATGCATCTCGTTTAAATACCCCAAAAAATACAGCGGGTTTCTTAGTGAACAGTTGATTTTTGTATGATTCACGAAATCGTCGGCAAAATTCTACATTAGATCCTCGTTGCATGACTGATTTGAACATTCGATTGTTCATAATGTTTGACAATGATCTTCACACTACGTTCATTAGTTTCATTTAATATCCGGCTAAGTGTCGACTAAGTATGACAGCTCCCGATTTTGGTCGACTACGATATAAATACATAAAGAATAATTAAGATACTACGGGTGAGATATCGCTAATGCATAGATTTACGGCCGCACTCCGAAATTCTGCGCAAAGTGGCTCTCGCAAGCCATGAACAAAACTCGTTTTCTGCAGCTTGCCTTCGCGAGCATAGATCAACTCTTACGCATTACGTTGCTTGCGATCTACGTTTTGCTTTTTTCTCATTCAAATCGAAATCAAAGGAGAAGCAAAGGATTCGTCATATATGGAGTACCGTGTATCTGGAAACTCTACAGAGACCAGGATATTTCGATACTTCTAATTCCTCGATTCTCGATGAAATCCATATAGCATCAATCGTTACGATCGTGTCGAACAAAGACAATAATGACATAAGATTCTATAGACTTTAAAAAAATTTTGTAATCTTCCGATTATACTATATCTTATATCGTGACTGAAAGACACGGTGTGTTACGGTGTGAAAGCTGTAATGATCGTGACGTAATGACTGTGTACGGACTTTCATGTATGAGTGATAGGCTATATAGATATATATATAGTTGCATTGTGTGCATCGAACATCGCTCTACAAGTTGCACTAAACACTACTTACAAATATCTCATCTAAACGATATATATATAGGTACGTTGTCGGACTTTCGATATGCGACAAACACTGTTCTGCATATTGTTCATTACTGAAGATACCTGAGAGGTTTTAGCTTTACGATATATCGTACGGAGACATATAATATATATATATATGTATATATTACAACTAACACCGATCGATCGTAGGAAAAACAGTAAAGATAGACAGAGCAGATCAGTGAATTCGAATGCAATTTAAGAATGTATAAGTAAATATATAGGTAATATAGTATATAATATAATAACGGCCAAAAGTAATGGTAAAAATAAATAAGCATCTCCGGAACACGGCCAACATTGAGTATATAGTCAATACTGAATTTATATAACAAACAGTGATTTATATTGATTGATACCTCGAAATCCTGTTTGCCCAGCCGGGGCAATGTCGATGGACAGGACAAGAACAGAAAACAGAAAAACAAAATTAAAACCTTTGGTAATAATAGTAATCCACTCAATTAGATATATATATAGAAAGAGAGAGATAGAGCTGTGTTACACGATGATATTACAGCTATTTATATAATATACCTATCGTCATAGCCAACCGTTAAAAACAGCAAGGTTTCATTGTTCAAGGACCATCTCAAAAGTTCCCCAAGCTGAGAAAAGTCTATCATCCGATATCCGAGATCGACGAGTCCGAATTCCGTGCGGTAATATCTCGCGGGCATTTCGTCATTCGCGCGAGATTCCGTCAATAATGAGAGATCCGCGAACGTTTATCGTCGCGGTGTTAGCAGGACAAAAACAGCGATTTGTGTATGGTTGCGCGGATTTTTTTTGCTGCGTTATCTCCTCATTTCTTTCTTCTTTTTTACTGTTTTTTTTTTCTCTTTTCTTTTTATCATCTCGAGCCACAACGAATAGACTTTCCTCGCGTATATAATCACGACAGATAAAAAAGTTGTTAGACTTATGGAAAAAATATAATGGCATCCAACATTCAAATACAAATGATAAGATATAGGAGTAGAGTGTTCAAAAGATAGTCTGTATATATATATCGCCCTATACCTTATTTCCTATATATATATATATATATATATAGATGTGTATATATATATATAAATATATATAATGATAAATGTAATATATAATTATATAATACAGATAAAAGAGTCTGCAACTGCACATCGAGCTTCCATGCAAGAAAACATTGATTATATAACGCTTGAACATAATATTGTCCAATAAAATAACCGAGAGGATATATATATATATAATCGGAGGCGTATATATAAAGTGCCCTGTCTCGTACGTTATGAGAACAACTATAATTAAAGGTCGATTCGAGCTCTCGATTTAAGAAATGCTTAACGACGAGTAGAACGACTATTTTTCCCGCTGGAGGTGTCATGTACGTGTGACGCGTTTATGCCGATGACGTTCGTTTCGATTCTTTGATTTTTTCCAGTTTCTCTCTTTTAGTGTCAGATTTGTGTCGTTATGAGTACATGTACAAATCCTTGCGAGCTGTCTCCTCGTGTATTTTACAGTAATTATTGTGTGAACCGCCTTTCTGATGATTTTGAATACTACTTGGATATTCATCGGTCAAACCAGCTCGACTTGTCCTATTGTGGACGCACAATAACGCGGTGAATCACGTATAGATACAAATCGATTAAGCAGATCATAGTGGCTAGCAGTGGGAGATAATATTGAGTGGTCCTTGCATCAATGCAATAATGAAAAAGACACTGAAAATATTTAATGATCGAGAGAGTATGAATGGCAAAAAGACGTATATAGTGATTGTGAGCGACAACTGAATTCCCTATCTCATTCGATTCAACGCTGCTACTTTTGCACTTTCAGCTCGCTTTTCCCCTTTTACACAATTTTATACCCTACTCAAGTATCTATTCAACGTCGAGCAATGTTAGATGAGTTTCGAGACTACTGTAATTCTACCTCGGACCGTCATCGCGATCGTTGAGCCGAGACGAAGGATATCTTTACAAACGGACCCATAGCTCTTGTGGTAAAATAACATATTTCCTAACATATGTTCAATCACTGAAATAAATATATTATTATAATGTCGCATCAATGTCGATAAAGTAAACGATAGCATTGCCCAAAAGAATATGATATTGTATAATCGAAACGTAGTATGATCGGAGATAACGAAAGGTGATAATCGTCAAATTAAAGTTCCTAATATATATATATGTATATAGTGTCAAATGCGATCCAACATGACACAAACAATTGAACGTAGAATGTAGAAATATATATATATATATATATAGAGAGAGAGAAAGAGATAGATAAATTTGCGCAATCCTGTGAGAGTCAAACTCTCAGTCTTCCTGCATCATTACAGCGTAAAGTGTGCTCTCGCGAGTGTGAGTCATACCTTGCTATTCGCGAAGAGTAGACCGACGCCTTCCATGCAAACTTGTAGAAGCCCGCCCTCGCCTGTTCGCATGTCCTGCACCGGGAATTCACCACCGAGTTCAATGCCCACATTCGCGCCTCGCCCGCGAGCCGCGGCTTTCTCCATAGCATCTTTTATGCAATAGTACAGATCTTTGCACTGCAAACAACAATCGTTACGTTATAACCATATTTTGCAACTAGCAGCAAATATCTACCACTCATAAAGATCCCAGATTTCGCCAAATTAATAATTTAGCATCAATGCGTATATATTGGCTCAGTATAAAAATTCGGTTCGATTGTTTCCAATTTGTTCTCATTAAATGCCAAATTGAAATTAAATTTGACTAAAAAATTGAAACAAACTTTTTGACTGATTCAAACTGATAATAATAAAACTGATATAATAAAAGTAATTATAATTTAAATAATTTAAAATATGCCTTCTGTTTAAGTCATTTCTACGATCATCGACAAGTTGATTCTTCTATCTCGTTGATTCCTTCTTTCATTTAAACTTTTTTCATTTTTTTTAGAAATATATACCTTCTTTGTATAATATTTATGTAACTCGGTGTCGCCGCCGCTTCTCCTCCATAAGCATAAGACTTTATTCTTCGGACTATATGTCATATTGACTACGCGCTCGTACCACCAGCGTTCGACTATCACGCCATTCACTGATCTCAGCACGAGACCGTCGTGGCGGACCTCGAGGAACCGTAGATCACCCTCGGCGTCGACCCCGGAATGCACGGTAAACGACTGTCGATGCATTTGTCGTGACGTCAGGGGCTTCAAATCGATGTCGTTTCCGTGCTGAAAAATCGAAGGAGAGTGTTGATCGCGTCATGCTTGACACTTCCTGGCTGTGGTAGTCACTTACGAGATTATTGATTTGATCGAGCAGTTGATTCAATTCATGACTGTAGATGAGGCCGATGTGACTTTTGCCTAGTAACCTTCGCACTTTCCGCTTCAGTTCGTTCTTGTCGACGTTCAGCATCACCAAGATAGCGGTAAGATTGTGCAGCAGAGTGCACAGAAGTCTGTCCTCGTCGTGCTCTAACCGTCGTCTCTCGCTTTCGCTCAAACTCTTATATCTGTCACATATATATATTTTTAATAACAATGTTGCATATTTTTGTCCAATGCGTTGCAATCTAAATTAACATATTGCGGATCATATAGTTATAATATTTTATCCGTGAAATTGAAATATATACAATTAACGAATATACCAGTTTTAATATAATATTCATTAAAATATTATCCCTCATGAGAAGATATCACATAGAATTTATGGTTTTCATCTTCCTAAAGACACAAATCCTGTTTTCAAGGCTTAAAGTATTAAAGACGTCGATTAACGTCTCCAGTCCTCAATATGTTAACGCAAGGAGGCTCTTATTTTAGATTGTTGAAATAGTCGGGAGCCTCTCACCTTTCCATCATTTCCCCAGGTCCTTGATCCATGCCCATCATGTCGCGCTCCTGCGAGACGGCGTCTAAGAAGGCATCCTCCCAGAATTGCATTTGGTCCCACAGAGGGGATCTCTCCTTCCCCAGCAGACCTGAAATCATGGTGATTGGAAATTATCAGTCTGTGTGTCATTTTATCAACAATTAAGACAATATCATTGGCGATTTTCGATTAAGAAAAGTGCGATACCTTCGAAGAGATACGTTCTCGCGGCTTCCGGACTCGGTTGCGTTGTGGTGGGTATTAAACTTCCACCGTGGTATCGGAATCCGGTGCTCAAAGACGACTTGCTGGACCAAACGCTGCCGGAGCGCTGTTTACCTTGCCGAGGAAACTAGAATCATAAAAACGCACAAGAGCGAAGTTAATAGCGTTCTCTCGAGAGATAATGAAAATATTAAGAAGATTCTATGAAGATTTCTCAATGAAGCAATATAATGATGTTTATAAAAGTACATCTTCTATCGACGTCCGTCGAGATTGTAGCGATATAAGGCAATTCAACGAACTAAAAATTCATTCGCACAGCTAATTGCGCACGATATAATGTCGTTTCTCTAAGGTCAAAGGGTAACTTCAGATTCAGATTCGCACGACGGAAGACGACACAAAGAACCTGTCTTTACCACAGACGACGCGCATCGCAAGTTTGATTTTTTCTCAATTGTACCATGATGCATATCGCTGTTACCCTTCGATAACGAATTCTCTAGGCGATTTTATCAGCGTCCATTTGGCGTGTGACCTGTCTGATGGATGAGAAAGCATCGGTGCCGTTCGAGCGTTCAGAATTATGGAAAGCGCCTCTCACATTAAGTCGATACTGCACATCAGAACTGCTGGCGTGTCGAAAGGACGAAGGACTATTCCTAAAGTGCACATATTTAGGCATTCGAGTGCTCGAGCTTGGAGACAATCATCAAGAGCTTGCTAGCACACACTCACGCGTACGTTTCGACAAGTTTCACGTCGTGATCGTTCAGTTATAATCTCGCACTAAGCTATCTCGGACTAAGCTATTCGCCGGTTAGCTCGATAGGAATGAACGATGCTACTGGAGTTTTGCTCTACGAGGTAATAACTATATAAGTATAATAAACTAATTCAGTAGATAATTTACATTGCCTTGCTCGACCTCGCTATCAGACACAGTGCTTCGGAAAGAAGCTTGGTGCGCTTGCCGAAAAGCAGGATTAGTGATAATGCTACCTCCGTCTGTGGATAAAGCTTCGCTGCTCCCCGTTCCACCACCCCGCCCACTCTAAAAAACACATGACACGTGTGCATTGCACGTTATAATAGAACGCGAACATTCAGTCGTAGAGTTTCTTTCATTACTAGCTTTACAAGGAACGTTAAAGAAGACGAAGAAGAAGAAGAAGGAGCTTATTAAGCCGTTATAGTGTTACACACTGAGAGCGAACTACTTCTCGTCTATCTCAGGACGGGGGGAGGCATGTATATTTTTACCGTGTTCTTTAATAATAGCGCCTGTGGAGTATTATATCGCGATACCCATGTACTGTGGACTACTGGCCAACTTGAAACTCATTTCGTATTTGAGGTACTTCCGAATAATTCGATACAAACGACGAATACAGCACTGTATAAGTACGAATATTCTGTTGTTCTACCTCGGAATCAAACGAAGTGAGCTTGCTCAGAAATTTCCCTTTCTTCGTGAACATGTCTAGAAACATGTCCGTTGTCGATTGGCTTGTATCTCCTGTTGCTGGTGCTTGTATGTGCGGCATATCCAAATGCACTTGCGGCAGATCTAATGTACGCAGAAACATTAATTAATACAAGCATTAATTACAAATGTTGCTAATATCTATTTAACATTAAACCTACCAAGTCCGATCAAATGACAATTTTAAAATTTTGTTTAAAAATTCATACAGTCTCTCTCTCTCTTTCTCTCTTTCAACATTATTATATCATCATATAACTTCACGACTTTTCTTATAATATATAATATGATCAATTTTTTAATATTTATCTTTATTCTTATTTCTTTTCTTTTAAGAAATATATGTATAAACGTAAATAGGTATACATAAGTTATCAGTAGATTTAGTATTAAATTATACAGGATGACTGAACCAAAAAGTTCTCTACCATTTTGTATATAACTACATAGACTTTTGATTATTAATTAAAAGAAAATTAATGCACAATTATACGCGAGAGTGCAATCTTTTTTAATTAATAACTAAAAATCTACATAGGCATTTGCAAAATAGTAGAGGACTTTCCAATGAAAAATTTTTCATATATAATTATATAAAATTATATAAAATTATATAAAATTATATATAATTATATATAATTATATATTATTATGCATCAAATTTATCCATTTATGTTCATACATTCTACTTATATATATAATTATATATAATTATATATAATTATGTATAATTATATATATAAATTCATATATAATTTTACATAATTACGCATAAATTTATATGTAATTATACATAATTGTGTATAATTATATATAATTTTATATGATTATATATAATTATACATAATTATGTATGGACAAATTTCATACAAAATTTTGCATGAAAAATTTTTCATCGGGTTTTTTGTTCAATTTGACTTAATGTAAAAGCACACAACAGCAAACGTCACCATCATAGTTCATCTACTCATATCATACGTGATCATTCACTAATCCTTTTTAATTAATATATAATTCAAAATTTTACATAAGTATTTGCAAAATTGTAGAGAATTTTGTGTTCTCAGTTTTTATGAGTTCTACTTGCGTACAACGGATGTGTTATGAGTTGTTAGACATTTTGTATATATTTATCTATCTTAAACTAAGTTGCTTGACTAAATTGATCAAAAAAACATAATAGATCTTTAAAATACACACCCAATTTTTGCGTAGTATCCGTGAAGTCTGGCTGATTTGGAGATTGTGGGGATTTTAAATTCTCTCTACTGCCGAATGGGCTAGATGCCTGCGAAAGAAACTCTTTCTTTAATTATAATCGCACGATGTTACGTATATAAAATGTGGAATAAATATATAGAAAAGAATAAAAAACTTTATAAATTATATCACGATGACGCGCAATTGCGAACAATATACGTCAAAAATGTTCAAAATGCTCGTACCTGCGACATCAATGAGCTATCGAAACCACCTTCGGATAGATCTTTGCTCCAGTAATGCGTATGAGCAATTTCCATCAGTTGGAAGACAGAAGCCATTCCGCCTAGCCCGAAATTATTATACGTATGCGCAAGACCATACGTAACTGCTTGAAGGCACTTTAACATTCCCTTGTACACGGGTTTCGGTATAGCCTATGAAAAGGAAAGCAAATGCAGGCACGCAAAACATAATTACATTAAACAAACAGCACTAATCAATAGATATAAGCACGTGGAAATGACAAGTGAACGCAAATGTATGTAATGTACCAAATAATTTATGTCAAATTATGATATACTCAGAGCTTACCACATCATCAATGTGGTCGTCCGGACTAATCTTTCTATTGAGACCTTTATTCAACTTCGTCACGACCAAATCTCGATAATTTTCATCCTCCATTAGCTTCTTCAGTCTGTTCAGTTTGAGCCAGCCGACGCCTTCTCCTGCCAACACTTGTGTCACCACCTAAAAGATTCATTAGAAGATGAATATAACATCAACATATAAGATCGTTATTTTATAATAGCAATGCTCAATGCCCCACAACACTTTGAAAGCATAATTTTAGTAAGTACTTACATCGTTCAAGAAAGCTTGATTGTCGCTGTTTGTACTGGAACGTTCGGCATTTTGTATTCTTTGCGCATCTTCTTGATTAACTTTATGCGAGGAATGTTTTATCAATGAGGAACGTTCCACCAACCCCGTTTTTCCTATAATATATTACAGTGGTATCACTTTTTTTCAGTTTCAATATATTAATCAGAGGTATCGGTCTCGTACATACCTTTAGGGAATGGCCCTAGAATCTGAGTTTTTTCCTTCGATTTCTGATTCTGCGGGAAGAAGCTGCTACTCCTATTGGAATTATTTTTACTACCTGAAAATTAGACATAATTTTATAATTCATAATTTTGGATATTTTATATGTTGCAATATTACATAACAGAAAAATTAGCACGCACCAAATAAATCGCTGAACATACTGCTCGTCTGCGCGGCGAAACCGTTTAAATCGCTACTGATATTGCTGAAAAAATCTCGTCCGACACCACCACGTGTGTCTGATGCGACCAACTGATTACTGATCGAATCCTTTCGCTGCGTCATATTAGGAGACGGTGGCGTGTGCACTGGTGATTGTTGCGTTTCGCCAAGACTCTAAACACAACGAATTCGGTTAGATATAAATTGGAAGCAAGACATTTTTACGTTATACTCCAAAGCATTTAAAAGTGTATATTATTTGTTTAATAAAATTCGCTAAAGATACTTTTTCTGTTAGAAATGCATTCATTCTACCTTGAGCAAGCCCTTTTTTGTAGCGACTTCTTTGGCACTTTTTGTTAAGTCTCCCAGTGTACTCTTACCGACGTATGTCAAATCGTCTAGTGTATTTTTACTGACGCCCGCTGCGGTTTTGCTTGCCTCTAGCGCAGTTTTCGACGCTTCTTGCACCGATTTGCTGGCCTCGCCCATGGCTTTCTTAGTTTGTTGTGTTAACTAAAATAAATGGAAACATAAAAATTAAATAAATATTTCGTTATAGTTATTATAAGTTGTTGCATAGAATAATAGACGCGTACCTGCTCCAACGGTGCGAATAGACTATCCTCGCCAGCCTCTGTTATCTTTTCTTTTGCCTGATGCTTGAGCTGAAAAAACAGTGAACTTGACGAACAAATATGTGCTATTAAATAATTGTATATAACTTCCTAATGCTAAAATGTCTAACAATTAATTATTTTATATTATTTTATATATTATATGTATATATTTTTTTATATCTCCTCTAAAGATTACAATCTGTCACTAATGTTTACATATAAAGCTAGCTCCAGAAATGGTTCATCTAAGTTTCGTAAATTTTCTTTCTTCTTAATTGAGGATTCTCAGATGAAAATACAATCCTGATAGAAACAGCTTTTAAAAGAGAATCTTCTTGCGCAATACCTTGTCCATTTGCGCAAGGAGCCCGTCTTGGCTGCTCTGTCTGGTGGTCTCGCGTACTAAATCTTTCGCCTGGCTAGCGATCTGCTCGAACAAAGATCCCTGAGAACCTTGTCTGAGCACACCGTTTCCGGTGCTTGAGTTGCTGCCCCCGCTGTTCTGCCGTTGCACCGTGCCGTCGTTCGGTTTCTGCGCAATTATTCCCGCTGACGCTTGACGCTGTAGCTGCGCTCCTTCAGGATGATGCTCAGTGGCAGCGGTGCTGATCTGTCGCGGTAGCAGAGGACCACCGGTGGTGCTGAAGCTGGAGCCTCTTGCCAGGACGTTCCCGACGCTCGGCTGGCGTTGTAGACCTGGTCCAGTAGGTGGTATCTAGAAAAATATACGCAATTATTTATAACTGCTTTCCTCATCTCCCTGAGGAAACGTGTCGAAGAACAAGAAGATGCTTGGATCTTATCTATTCCCGCATGACAAAACGTTTATTTCTATCAATAGTAATTTATATAATTTCTGGAAAAATGTCACATTATTAATAAATCCCCAGCACGTAATGTAATAAAAAAGTTAGGTGATACAGATTATATATCACGGACAAATTTGCAAGGCATGCGAGGATATAGTAGAAAAGATCCTCGAATGCTTTCTCTCTGAAATGTTATACATTAATCAACATAACACTGGCGTGATAGTTGTATTTCAAAGTTTAAAGTATAGAAAGAAAGAGTTACTCATGCTTCAACGGTAGACATCATGTTTAACGTGATTAGACAAGGTAGGTATTAAAAAAAGAAAAGGAACAAAACAAATTATTTCTACAAAGAGAATCGTACTTTTCTGTAATTCAACTCACAGTAATCAGAATAGCATATTATAATTTCATAAACATGTGTTCGTGTAAAATCGTGTAAATCGCATTTGCATGAAAGTAATATGTTATATTTCACGAGCATCAATGTGCAATTACGTATCTTGAAAAGTTAAAACAGAAAAAAGACAGGTGCATTATAGTAAATCTAACTTATTTATCTTTCATGCTGAGAAAAAGTGATGTGATATACGAACTGAAGATCAAACTGTGGAGATAATTGGAATTCACAATTAGATAGCCACATTAAGTACTGGGATGTGAACAGGGATCATCATGATCATGTTTTAAACAATGAGCGTGCAATAAATTCAAACAATGAGCTTTGATTATGACACGTGAACGGTATCGAAATAAATATAAAAATGATGCCAACAACGTTGACATAAAATGCAAATTAAGAGCGAGAAGCTAACATTCTCCTCAAACAATATTCTTAAGAGATACATAAGAGGAGGAGGAAGAAGAAGAAGAAGAAGAAGAAATGGCAAAGTCGTACATTCCACATACTTCCACAAGTTTCGATATCCCATCTATCATGCATTTGCTCGAATGACATCGAGGACAAAAGTGGTCGACAATTACGCGGGACAATAGAGTTAAAGGTAATGTGGAGATGACTCACAGGAGTGACATATCTACTGACACGCGAGGTCCTGTGAGGGGTCGCAGGACGTTCAACGTCGTTGAGCGAAGGAGTGCCTAAAGATCCCACGTTTATCCCAAACTGTCCTACCGAACTTTGTGCGCTCAGGATTGTGCGCGGTGTTATTGTCGACGCGGAGTCTGACTCAAAGCTACCACCCTCCTCTTTATCCTATGATCAAGTAATCCGTTAGCGTACACAAATGAATCGTTTACGTCGAGCTTCACGCATTGTTAACATTGTTATGAAAGTAAATATTGTTATGAATGTAGATATTTCATGGGCATTGCGCTTATGCATATGTCACCTTTATTGTGTGAATCTAGAAATATTAGATCTAGAAATTTCGACTCAGAAATATTAGAAATCTACTGATTATGTCTCTGCGTCTAGATGCGGATTTTTGTCTCTGATTGTGGAAGAAAATTGGAAGAGAGAACTAAATGTTATTTTAAATTTCCAAATGTCGGATGAATGGATACAAAAAATAAAAGAAAAATTTTCCCAATAATGCTCGAATAAAAATAGGGTGATATGTCGTGAAATGAAAGTTGATAAATTTTATTGTTTCGAGGAAGAACAGACAAGTTCTTGCTTCACAAGAGGAAAGAATAGACAAATTCTTGCTTCACAAAGGGAGCTGAATGAATGTGATCGATATATATGATCTTTCTAAGTAAATTTAATGACATTCCTAGGAGATATGATAAGTGGTTATCTTTCTAAGTTCAAAATTGCTCTACTGGGAAATCCATAGAATGTGGCTTATCGAGTTTCTCGTCATATATAAAGTACCCATCGTACGTGAAAGTATTATTTAGAAAGTGGTGCACAGGGAGAAAAAGACGAGAAAGAAAGTATATGGTGGAGAAAAATTTGAACACTTACGTTAGTGGACTGTGAACCCTCATGAATTTTCGGATTTAATTCGAGCTCGGAATCCCTGTTAAAGCTCGGGCTACTGAGATCGCTGTGACTAGAAGAAGTACTCGGTGGGCTCTCAGGCCGTGCCGGCGAGTCCTCCTCCACTCCCGGATATTGCAAGGAACTCGGAGGATTGTAAACGTTTTTCGGATCCACCGAGAGCGACATTTGTTGGGGTTGACTTATTTGCGGACAATTATAACCTGCGGAGAAAAATCGAATTCAATCATCTCTACAAAGATAATACGTTAGTGCAGTCCGCAACATTTAAATAAAAATATAATTATTGATCATATAGATCATACAGATCATATAAATTTTGCGACAGCAAGATGTTTTCACGATAGTTTAACTTCGGCTACATCAATAACATATTCCGTGCCCCAATTCGACATTTGTTTTATTATTCACTCTCAACATGCGTAAATTTCGTTCATTCGCGAGAATTCTACTTCCACATCGTCGTTCCAAAACACTTACCCGGCGACAGATCGGATGAGGCCATCTCGGAGACAAAGTCGCTCAAAGAAGAGTAAGAAGAGCTCGTGCTCTCGGCGCCCTCGGAATCAGAACCGCTCTCGTCCGTAGGCTGACTTTCGAGCTCTTTCATCGCTTTCAGAGCGTTCGCCAGCGAGCTACCGGAGTCCCAGACAGGAAAGTAGATCGGCTCGAGATTGCTCGCGTACCAGCGCGGCTTGTCGCCAATCTGCGTCGGATCAAATACCCCCGTCTGCACCCGGAGGAAGGCCACGTTGCTCGGTGTGAGCGACCACTCCGCCAGGAACTCGACCGCCTGCGTGCGCGCGAATTTATTCAGGAAACTGCTCGCCCGGGGTCGCGAGCGAAGAAACGAATTGATCTGGAAGGCCACCACCGGCCTGGGGTACAGCCTCAGGGTCCTCGTGTGCTCAGTGAAGTTGGCCAGCAGATTTTGCGAGTTAAAGAAGCGCACCATAGCTACCCGCGTGGCGATATCCACCGAATCCACGTCGTTCCCGTAGATGAAAGGATTGAAGGGCGCCGTTGAATTTTGCCCGATCGCGGTCTTCGGCGGATACGGCCCGCTTCCGGGCCCGATTGACTGCGACGTCGACGGCCGACGAATTGGACTCGACGTACTCATGCCCGGCGAATTCAACGGGCTGTGTTGAATATGTGCGCACTGATCGATGCTCGGTCTATGCTTGGTAGGAGCTACACTATAGAGTAGAAGATTTCTTTACACACGATCGTGCGGATTGATAAAGATGTGGGAGAAGTGTTGAAAGACGTACGTTAAGTTCGTATGATGAGATACCGCGCTTTCTCTTCTACTCGGCGGCTGAAAAGAGAGACGCGGCGTGATGTCTTGCGAAGGTAGAGGAGGGCCCGACATACTCGCCATAGCCTAGAAATTCGTCAAGTAATTAACAAAGCTGAATTCGTAATGATCATTCGTTGCAACGCGTTAAAAAATTCACTACTTCCACTAGATCATCGATCTACGAGTAAAGCAATCAAATAAATATCACGTATGATGTTGAACTGTGTGAATATCTACTTGAATGTTGGCTACCCTCCAGGTTTCAACAAAAAGGAGAACTATGAATCTTTCTTCCTGTTCGCCGTGATTCTACTTTTAGTGTTTCAACGTGAATGCGTGTCGGTACGATGGGTTTACGATCGATTCGATTTTACGTACGACAGATGATGCATGCCACTAACTACGAAACAAAGATTAAATATCACAAGCGGACTGAATTAGTAAAATATTTACACTAGAGCCAACTTGATCCATCAGTTGCATTGCCTGCAGTGAGGATAACGAGTCATTAAATACGTTTCATTTGTCATCATTTACGATAGTTACGAGAGTTTACGAGTTACATCAATAGAAAAGCTGATGACGTATTACCTGTTTCAGATGATTCTTTAGAATGGTACCCTCCGGTTCCGGCAACGGCGGCAAACTGTCGTTTACACCACTGGGCGCCGTGATTTTATTGCTATCTAGGTCCACCAGCCAAATGTCGTCAGGCATTTTAAAATTCTTTTTATACAACAGAAAAGAAGCGGGTATTCCGATCACGAAGGGCGTCGGCGCGAGCAGCAACTGCTCCGCACAGCTCATGCACGTTGGTAGCAATGGTATCGCCGGGAACATATACTCCAAAGGATAAATCATCGTAACGAACGCCATAACCGACATAGACAGAGCATTGTAATCTCGGGATTGAAGAACAATCTGAAAAAGGTATATTAATTTAGCACTTGAAGTTTTCGTGATATAAAGAAATGTTTGAGAAGAAATTCACGAAATTAATATCGCGTCTTTCGTGATTACTTCAGTTCACTTTTTCAAAAAATTTTTCTCTCTGAAAAAGTAAAAATTCATTAAGGTGCAGCACCAATCAACAAGAAACTAAATCCAGCAAGGACATATTCATTTTTAAAATCGAATTTAGAAGTCCAAGAAGGTAAAAATTCAATGAGTATTTTTTCATTATGAACGAACTCTCAGATGTTAAAAATTAATTAAAAAATTACCTTGTTCTCCAGCAAGATTAGCGTGAGAACTTTTAGACATATATCAACGCCGAGAAGCTCCAATGGAAGATGCAAAGGGAAATCAACCAGAGAAAATCTAGTGTGGTCCGGCAGAGCGAAGCATAATGGTGGTTGCATACTTGACGAAATTATCTCGACCTCGACGCGCGTCTTTGCCGGGACCGGCACAGGACTGCTGAGCAGACGCAGTATCCACGTCTCTATCTCGCGTACGTCGTGAAGTACGATAGACGGCGTGCCTTCCAAAGCCTGGCCCGTCAGTACACTCCACACCGTGTCCCTGCAACGAAATTCGTTCGTCTAATTACTAAAACAATTACTTTCTCAAGTTGTCGATATCAAGAGATTTAACCAAATGTGGACGTACCTGTTGGTTTGCCGAGAAGCTCCTACCTTCTGTGGTGAGAAGCTTTCGTTGCACGCGTCAATAATCTTTTTCAAAACGAAAAGGCATTCCCGGAACATCGAGAAAAACGGATGATGCGAAATAATGCACAACGAAGTCAAGGAGTGATTGCGAACTCTCTGCAAAAATATTATATTATTTATAATAAGAGATCGTGACAAGATAAGAACTATGTGGAGCGTTGACGTTTAGTTATTAATCGATAAAGTTAATAATACCAACCTGACGTCTTCGAGACGCTCGCGGCGACGGAGAATGACTGCCGCCGCTCTCGCTGTCTCCGCTCGGCGCGATGATATCCAATCTCGGGGCGTGAGGGACCTGCGGGGTGTCTGAGTCTCTTCTGCTGCTGGAGCAATCTCTGTCAGAGTCACTAGGACCCACTGCACTGCTCCTATAGTCGCTATAACAAACAGCTAGAGATACAATCATACAAACGGAACACGCGAATCGTCAGAGTCACTTAAAACGCACGACCCAGCGATTTCCAAAAAGATTTCAATCTTGCAAATAACTATAAGCCATTTCACCTAGAAAATGCAGAATCCGTGCTTCTCTCCATGCTCTTCCTCCAACTCTCTCTTCGGAACGTGGTGTTGTACTTCTCTCTCTTGAGCGAGATGCCCGCGCCAGCTGCGAGACCCGCTCTTTCCATAGGTCGGTAGAAATTCACGCAGATCCCATAACGAGTTTTCCCTACGATCAGACCATAACTGTCGCGCTGCATCGAATTTGGCAATTGCACGAACATAATCTAAGAATAGATAAGCACCTGAATCTTTGTCGGTGAGAGTGAAAGTAAAGGATGTTGCCTCTCGTAAGGCCGTGCGTTTTGGTCCCACGCTGCTGCAACCTTCCGGTTGGCAGAAGTACACCATATCCAGAGGCAGGGGAAAGTCCTTGTGGTCCTCCACTGGATATCTGCGTAACAACTCTGGGACCTAACAAATAAATTTAAATAACATATTGCAATTATTATAAAGAATATAATTATTATAAGTAATCAAGTATATAATACAAGACTCTACTAGATTCTTCTTTCGAACTTTCTTTTATCGATAGAAGAGCCTTTAAATATGACTTATAATCCTTCTGATTGGAGTTTATAATTATTATAATTATTTTATTGATAAAAGAAAATTTATAGAATAAGGACTTTACTCTTATCAGTATTTACTTGAGCTGTGTGGTACATAAATAATATTCTCTTTTAATATATTATCTTTGAGAGATATTCAACTTTTATTATAAATTAAAATCTCCATAAACTTTTAAATGTATTTTAACTTCATAGATTCTTTCTCTCTTTTAAATGTTCCATGTTTTAAAATACTTATTGTTATCTCTGATATATAACTCCAGCATTCCATACATATATTATTTTTGAACATATATAATTTGTAAGCATTAATTTTGACTAAGCCCAAAATATTCTACCTGGACGGGCTGACGAGAGGCAGAGGGCACTCTGGCCCCTACAATGGCGAGGTAATCCACCAGTCGGGGGCACAGAAATTTCTTCTGTATATCCATGATAGTGATTTGTATCTATATACGAGCTGTGTCACCGTTGTATACGGTATATACAGGACAGCCGAGCTGCTGAATCTTCCTCAGGATCGTTTCCAAGTTGAATCATGATTGCACCATTCTCCCGCTTATTATTTATTCCACCTGCGAATTCAATCGCGAAAGTTGCAGTTGATTAACGCTGAATAGCTCTAATTAATTAAATTACCGCGCAACCGTCCTCGAGGGTGCAGAATTGATTCGTTCAATGGCATTACCGATAACAAGGCGCCAATCAGCTTTCATATCATTTCGCGGAAAATTCAGCAAGTTAGCGTTAAATGTAATTTCCTATAAGCCGGGAGAGTAAAAATCGCGCGCAAAGAGCGAGAGGCGGGAGACAACGAAGGGATCGTAGGGCAGTCGAGGGACGAGAATTCGAGAGATCGATGAATCCGAAAGCCCGAGAGAATGTGTGTCACCGTGTCGAGAGCGGGTGTGCATGCGCGCGGTGGAGACGCGACGACGGGAGGGAGGCTCGTGCGCGTGTTTAATTCCGCCGTATCGAACTTCTCTCATATTTCGCGCCGTGGCGCAACGCGAGGTATAACGAACGTCGTGCACGAAGCTACGTATTTCCGCGTGTGATTACATCGATGGCATATGGCGATTACGGCATATGGCGATTACGGAAACATATACGTGGACGTCTCGAGCCCGCTTTGGTAATTACGTATCGTGCTGGACAACACGAATTTCTAAAAAAAGGATCCTGGACATCATTTTCTTTCTAATGTCGTTCAGAAAATTTGCTAGAGACACTTAAATCTCGTTACTTTAGACTTGACTCTTGGCCTTCTAGGCTAAAACGCAACAAAACAGTTGTCGAGTAAACGATTTGTATGTAACAAGTATCCAGTAAGCAAATTGAGCGCAGACTGCGCGTAGATTGGCAGCAAACCCACAGCAAAACCATAGCCATCTGTCTACATTAGGCTACGGTTTTGGCGACAGATCTTGCTGTCGGACAATTGGTGCCAAATTTACAGCAAAAACCGCGCAAAGCTTACAGCACAGCAAGGTCTGCGCGGTTTTTGCTGCCAATCTGCCGTCAAATCGCTACAAGCTCTGCGCGGCTTTTACTGCAAATCTGCAGCAATTATCCGACAACAAGCTCTGCCGCATAACTGGCGGAAATTTGGCAGCAAGATTTGATATAATAGATCCTGCGTCAAATTTGTTATCTATTTGCCATCAAAAGTTGATAGCAAACTCTGCTCGAAATCTGTTCACGCAGGTTTGGCTATCTGGGTACAGAAATTTCCAAAAGACGTTTAAAGATATCTAAAAAACGTCCCAGTTTTTCAAGTTTTATTTGAGCATTTTTAATTTTTTAGAAGCTTCTGCTACCTGGAAACAGTCAGATCTTGCTTCTCCAAGATACCAAAGAGAAGAGAAAATTAAGAAATTAAAAATGATTAAATCTTTTAAAGAATCTCGAATTATATCATTCATATAAATCTTATGAAATTGTTTGCTTTGTATAAAATCAATTAATAGGATCTGTTAATTCCCCCAACAACAACAGACAGTTGCCAAGTAAACAATCTGTATGCAACAACTCAGAAATTTTTAAAAGACGTTTAAAAATGTTCTATTTTTTCTTATTTAGTTTTTTAGTTTTTTTAAGACATCTTTAAGAGCTTCTGCTACCTAAAAACAGACCGATTTTGCCTCTTAGATACTAGAGTTGAGAAATTGCGATTTAAATTATTCAAAGAATTTCAAATTGTGCCTTTCATATAAATCTTACCAACGTAAGAAATTTCCTGTTCCATGCAAAATCAATTAGCAAATTATCTTAATTGTCTCAGTCTTCTAATCCGAGAATTACTCGCTCTCATACTGACATATACAACTGACTACATCTAAAATTTCCAACACCCGCAATCGATTGTTCCTCAATTAGACGAAGCAGCTGGCCGAGCCTGAAAAATGAATGGAATCTTCGAGATGTGCGAAGATGTCAGCAATAAAAATGAAAATTACTTTTTTTGCAGGTTTAGCGACAGTATCTTCAGCCTCTCCTGTAGAGATGAAATAGCGTGATATTTCTATTTTTCCAAACGTGTTAATCCTCCTTTGTTCTTCCTATTCTTAATTAACTATTCCTTGTGTCCTATATAAATCTTATTCCCGATTTCATTCACAATCAGCAATAATTTATAGGTTAAAATTCAATCGTTTATCACGGCAGCTTCCAAAGATCTGTTTTCTATTGCTGAATTAATGTACACTTTCGGAGCTTAAAGAGAGACAGATATACAGATCAAAATTGGTGGAAGATGAGAGAGAACTAGTGCAGCCAGTTCAGCAATAGAAAACAGATCTCAACAGACAAAAAGAGAAATTATTTATAGAGGTTAGTCGTTCTAAGCTTGCGTCCAGCTGTGCGTTATTATACCTCCATCTGCGGATAATCTGTCTTCGACGAGGAACTCATCACAGCCAGCCAGCATTGATCTGATCGAGATAATACCTTGGAAGTGACATCGATTAGGATATCGAACCCGAGCAACGTCAATCGCAGCTTTTGGGGACCGCCATTCGCGCCAAAAACGCACGTTATATTTACGAACGGGACAATTGCGCGACAATCTCGCGTATCGATCGTAGTACCACACGCAACTAACGTCATCCCACTGATAGCCATCTGAAAGGCCTCGATTATCGAAACTCGCGCGAAAGATTCAATCAATTGAAATCGAAGAAATTCGCATCCAATTTCAAGTCACAGTGACTAAAATGGATACGGCTTCCTCGGCGTAGATCTGCACTCATTTTGACCGGATCCTGTCCTACCAAAAGGTAATCTTCAATATCGAGCATCGTTTTGGAGTCGTGACTGAAATGCGATCAGTCCAATTAATCCGTACACAGTAAACACCAATTAACAGTAACATCACATCAATGTTGTAATTTTCCACTTAACATTCTAGACAGCACAGATCTCTAAGGAATGTTCCAACAACGTCCAGAGGACATCCTCAGGATGCTTCCTGGACACAACGTCCCTTAAAAGTTTATGCTATCTGGGATGTAATTATTATCCCAACACAAAAATATTATACTAACATTAAACTTGAGAAGCTTTTAATTACGTTGCTAAAGATGGTAGCGATGTTACCGTGAAAATTAAAGTGGTGTATACTTTCCAAGATTTTTAATAAGCTTTAAACCTGGACATTAATATAAGGTTTTCTTGGTTAATTCAAGATTGTCTCGTGGTTAAATTAATACCATTTCAATACCTATTAAAATATAATTCACCATCTTAAGCTAACCTCCTAGCAATATTACCGTGCTGCTCGAGAAAATCGCTACAACATTATGTTCCCATACCAAAATTTAATTTACTGAGATATCATAGCAACAATTTAGCAATAATAACATTGACTCGGTGCTATGTGGGCACATAACGCGTTACATTTATATTATTGAATGGGAAATGGTGGCATTAATGTTAAGTTACTGATAGTTGGTGTGCTCACTAGATAGAGAGAAACACGCGTTAACTTTGCAAAGAGGACGATACGACCCTAAGCTCACCTCGCATCGATCCCAAGGCATGGACGAGCCCTACTGATAGGTAAGTTCACCTTCCTCACTGCCATCCGATGAACATCGCCCGCCACGACTCGGCCTAAAATCGCGACTCGATTTGCAGATGTTCGCAGCGAATAGCCGGAAACAACAACTCTCGCGAGGTTCCCGCAGCTATCTCTTCCAGAACGGCTCCAAGTAAAGAGCCGCTCCAGGATTTTAAATATCCACGCAGTCCTGACACATAAATGATCCCTAGTATCCGAGTCGCGACGTCACGACGGCCACAGGAAGCCGAAAAAGTTTGCTCCTTCTGGCGCGGACTTACGTTTTGCAATGCATGACGCGGAGGGAAACCGCACGTCCTCGCCCGACCGCCGCCATCCGTCCGACCACGAACGCCAGCGGTTATTCCGTATCAGCCAAGTGGCGATATCACACTGGCCGCCGACACTCCCCCGGAGCTCCGCGCTGCCTCGTCGACGCGGGCCGATGCTGCGCGATACCGTCGCGTTGGATCGTTCGCCAGAAACGGTACCAGGCAGGCGCGCCTGGAGGCGCGCCGCCTCCAGTACCGGCGCTAGCACATCCTGATTCCACTTCCGAAAGAAAATTTCCGTCCCCTTTCCTGGGCCACACTATCGTCGCCTTGGTATCCTTCCGTTCATCCCGTCGTAGTCGCGCCGCTGACTAACGAACGGAGAAAAAAGCTCCAAATCTCGGAGCCGAGGCCTTCGGCTCTATGAACCGTCTTCGACTTTTGCATTCATGCCTCTTCTTTCTGTTTTGCTCTTTTTGACACAGAGAGTAGACCATATATTGATCTCTTCTCCTCGCACACGCTAAACAGCTTGTCATTCAAATTGTAAAATATAAGCGATGTATAGTCTTTTCCGTGTACAATTTAAGTATGTAGTCGTTAATAGTATTTAACGTGTGGTCTTCTTTTTTTCCGTTATTTTTTCTTTTTGGAAAACTCCGGCTTCAAGCCGGCACCTTTCGTCCCAGGCCGTTTTTAATATTTTTTTTTCTTTATTTAAGAGGTAGACCGTGTATTGATCTCTCTCTTTCTCTCTCGCAAGTAGGATATAGAGCTTATAATACGGATTATAGAATATGAACTATATGGATTCTCTTTTCGTATCATTCTTTGTGTTCATGCAAAATATGCACATGTAAAAAAACTTTAGTAGTAACATGATATTTATTGGTAACATGTTAAGGACTTTAAAAGCCTCGCGATTTCTCTCTCTCTCTCTCTTTCTCTCTCTCTCTTCGTTATTTTAATTCTAGCGAGTGCGCAGCGCGTTCCGCATAATTTCTTCCCAATATGACTAATATAAATATGAATATATTGAGAATATGATATTTCATATCATTTCTCTTCTTTGCGCATTGGTAATTAACGCAAGCTCTCTTGGCAAGCTTTACAAGTTATTAAGAGCTAGCTGGTAACGTCCCTTTAGAAATTAATTAAAATATGATCCAGTAAATACTATCAATAACATAACATCAGTGTTATAATTTTCGACTCAACAATGTAAATACAATATAACACGAATGTTGTGTAAGTTGCATTGTTGAATGAGAAATTATAACATTAATATAATGTTACCATCAGTTGGTGCTTACTGGGAAAATATAAAAAAAATTATGCGCTACAACAATCCTTTAGTTAGCTACGGAAACACGTATAACTTCTACTTTCTAAAAATATCATTTCCAGACGGAAATAAGCTCGTCAAGTTCGGCCCTGTATCTCCGAAGCACGTCGCGTGGCCCCGTTGGCGTACTCGCGCTCGGCGTCACCAGCCGGATCAATAACGCCCGTCAGGTTCAGCTGAATGTCTGGGGGCACATGAAGGGAAGCGAGCACGAGGGTAGGTAGGTGGCTAGATAGATGGGTGGGCAGGAATGGGGCCAGAACCTTGCGGGCGTCGACTAGGTCGAGCCCGAGATACGTACGACCCGACGCTGGCGAGGCGAAGGACAAGGGTGCCTCCCAACGTCTTTCGACTGAACCCGAAATCCCCACGTGAAGTTTTACACCGTGGGGGAGTCGCAGGATAGAGGTGACCCCGTTCCCAAAGATCGTGCTAATATTGCGGACGAATTATAGTTCGCACTTCGCCGCGAAAAAATGGGCGGACATGTATCTCTTATTCTGAAACATTCAGTAAATACATCACTTCGTATATATCTCTATGTAACGAGTTGGGTGTGGCGCTATTCGCGATATAATCGAGAGAGAGAGATTGGTTTCTGTCCGGGAAAAAATAGATTGAAGATGTAAACTGCTTCTCTTCTCTCGCACAGAGAATTAATTTCCACGAGAAACAATGGATCTCGAAAATTAATATCGATGATACCTGTCCGCCTTTCTAAGCTTACAGAATTCTCAACGGTCTGAGAACAGTTAACAGAATACGAGTAATACGAATAAAATTACACTTATAATTTAAAGAGCGCTCTCTCTCGTGTCTGATCTAAACAAAGAGTTTTTGTCTCATTGGATCAGCCAAATATTTGATGCAACTATTATTATAAAAATTTACAGCCGATTTACTATCGAAATTGAGACGAATTTTTTTGACTGACCAATATGAACCCTTCAAGAGCCAAACTGATAATTTCTACTTATATTGTCAGTTTCTTACTTTAAACAGTTATATCCTAATCACATATTCGGATACTGAAGTCAATAATTTCGGTATAAATCTTGATTTGAAATTATAATTGGTCGTTTAGTTTAAAATTTTTCTTGAAATTGAGAAATTTACAAAAGTGGAGGTCAACTTGACTTCTAAGAAACTGTCTGAGAACTATTTAATATACATGTTAATGTTAAAGTACTCGCATACTATTTACTAAAAATTAATATTTTCCGCGTCGTGACTAGATAAGATGTTAAGTGTATGGAACCTAATATCAATAACTTCAATGAATGAATGAGTAAAAGCGATCTCTCCTAGAGCGTTAATCAGTTAGGAGAAATTTTTCAAGAGAACACTCGTTATGTTACACTCGTATAAACTTTATTAAACAGTATATCAATTATATAATTATTAAGTTATGATCTCGTTGGAATAGAAATGCCTTAGTACCTGTATTTACAGCACGGTAGCAGATTACCCGGCGCTACGTGTGAACCTACCACCACAGATTAGATCGCAAATCATTATTTAATCTAGAAGATAACAGTCAAACGTACGCGCACGCACGCACACTCGTGAGAAGCAAGTAGTAAGTGTCCAAACGTTCGTCCGTTACGCTTCATTTTCCTGCATAATAATAATGATCACGTGTATGGCGGTCATTCTGTGTGAAAATATACATCGAAATGTGAACGTAGGCAACTATTTTAGAATAACGCTACTTGTAATACTGCAGTGTTCGCGTTCGTTTCACTAACTTATACATATACTTAACGGTCTTCTGCAAGCTTCTAAAGTTGCTTCTCTTCTGATTATATATTCAATATCGTTGCTGTATAAAATATACTTAAATTATCTATCTCCTCATTCCTGACAACTCTATTCTACATTGCTGATTAGACTAATGAGATTAATCCTTCACTAAGGACGATCTTATTAAGGCGACAAACCGGTAAATCAACTACATTTGCTGTTTCCGAATGATTAGCACGTTTCACACGAGATAAACGTCATCGTGCCTTTTATCCGCATTTTTTTTCCCTCTTCGACACTTCCCTTAGTGCGACAATTTGTTGAACTCTACTCTGCTACGTCCGTAATAAATATCCTCAAGTTGCAGACGAGAGTGCAACGTTACGCGGAATATATATCTCTTATCGCATTTATACAATTAATCTGTTTAAGTAACACCCATCTGGCAGGCGCAGACAAACGTCTGCCGACGAACACGGCAAACGTTTTATCCGGTGATAAATATAGCTCGCTGCTATTGTTACAAATATCATATTTTGTCGTTGACAATAACTCGATTGTACCGCAGAACGCTCATCGCGCGCACCTTTTGTACTGTTTCTATCGAAAAACATCGGACTTCCCACGTGCACGACTCCACATCCACGTCGAGGAACAATGTGTACAAAATATTGCGATATAAAAATGAACGGGGGGAAATGTCTTCGCGCCAGCGAGACGCATACACGTTCTACGTATGCACGCCCCCATGTATATCATATGTATGTGTGTATGCGGGATACACCATGCTCTTCTGCAGAGGGTGCGACAGACAAGTCATCATTCTCCGTGCATCGCTACGTATTCTTGCGGATACCGTGAACGCGCGACCGTTATATCACTTCGCGCGATTTCCTCCGGTCCGCAAGCACAATTAATCTACATTATTGCGTATTCAAAAGGCGTCTTTCGGCATAGGTCGGCTAACAATAATTAGCATTGCCGCTAATATCAGAGGTCGAGGGCGGTGTCGGATCCGTGATGATGATACTCGTCGTCTAACAGCGGCTCTGCCTCCAGCATCATGTGAACTGCGAACAAAACTCTCGTCATGCATACCAACGAACAAGTAAACATTAACACATGTATCTCTCGCAATGCTCACTATTAACACCCCCGACAGACAGCGCGTATCTTTGTTTATCGACTATCGCTAGGCTACTCTGGCCTGTGAAAATTGGTATATAACAGAAAATCCAGCTCTGAGCTTGCTCTGATTAGCACAAAAATCGAAGCGAAATGTCACAGTGTATCGCCAGTAGTGCATATTGTTCTGTATGTTTGTTCTTTTTTTATTTTCGTTTCACTCCCTCTCTCTTAAAAAAAAAAAAAGAAAAAAGAAACAGATAAAGTCCAAGCAGCAGGCAGAAAAACATGCAAAATAATTTTGATACACACAACACGCTAAATATATAGCAAATCTAATTGAGGGCTTCGTGCAAATCGTCACATGAAGTAAATCGCTGTTTGCATGATCAAGTAGCTAGAAAACGCGTTTTCTTGCTGAAGAAAAAAGCGATTTTTAGTAATGATCGTATAATATCGTAATTAGATCTTATTATTGCATACATACACACACATACACACATTATTATAATCGCGTTTAAACCGATTTTTCGAATTATTATCAAGCAAGCAGCTGTTAAACGTGACAGCAAATTGCACATTAATTTTATCTTGCAGGCATATAAAACAATTGAACTTTTAGATGAGCATAACATACGAACAACACGTGAATGACGATTCGAGAACGTGCGAGAAGTTAACGACAGTTCCAGTATCCACACACAGTGTGTATAAAATACATAAATTTATATAATATATATGCGGGCAATATTATACATAGACAAACGTATGCATATATATGATGTACTTGTATCTTCTTAATTTTATCAACAAAAAGAATACTGACCGATCGATCAATCAATCCTAATGTAGATTTCCACCAAGATTACGTTATCTTTTCACATTACATTCTAAGTGAATTCGGTTGCGTAAATGAAAAAAAGCTCGTTTAGATGAAGCGACAAGCATAAAGCATGCGTATTAACACTCCGCTTGATATTTCGAACGACATGTTGATAAACTCCTTTCACTAGCATTTAAAAATACATCTGCATTCCCTTGCTGAGAGATTTTCTAACGAAATGCACCGTAAGCGCGAAGGAGTGGAGCACTTGTTGCTGTTGATGCGTCTCGCCGAGTAAATTTGTCTTACAATTGCTAAACATCATTTCCTAAACATCATAATATAACACTCAGCGTGTTCTAGACTGACGGAAGATTCGTCGAGCGATACAAACAGACTCATTCTCCCGAGAGAAGCTTTTGACATGTTTGGTTAGATTAGAATGAAAAATAGCGTGTCGTGGTAAACTCATTTATCCAAGAAGTATAGTACAATTCGCAGAAACAAAATTCGAGATACGGTACAGTTCATAGAGTTACATTTCGTTCACTGTGACGTTTACACATGTACACGTGTACAGTACCTTCCTCAAAGGGATATATAGTGAATTATTTATCTATGTCAATCATTTATACAACAATAACATATGACAAATCGCTTGCACAACAGCTTTTTGAGTGGAAAACAATTATATGATCGTGTTTCTTGAACACGACATAAAGATGAAAAAATACAAAATATAGTATCTTTCTACTATATATATATATTTTTTTTTTAAAGAAAAGCTATTGCAAGATATTTTGCCAATACGGGAATGTACCCTTTATTATATATGTATATTATCTAGAACATTCCCTGAAGTACAATAGAAAAATTGTATCAACCGCACTCCTCCCCCCTCCCCCCGAATATCTGTCATACATCCAGTTTTGTTATGTTGCATCTAATAAATTTCTGACTATAAAAGTTTAATTATTCATTACTTGGCGTGAGAGAATATTATAGTAAAATCACATATAACATACAAATGATAATTAAGCATGTATCTGCCATTTGCTTGTAATGTTTCGTCGTGTAAGTTGTATACGTATATGTAGAAAGTATATTTAAAATATTCTCACGTCTTTCTAGATGTGTAACATTTACGTAAATAAGCGTTTGCCTTAACTTATCTTCCTCTTTCTATTGTCGTACGATGTAAAAGTAAAGTAAGCGAACACCTATCTTACGCTTTGCAGAGTCATGTAACTGTCTTTAGTCTTTTCATCCTAACACGTCTCATAAAGTTGAATTATCTTTATCATTGTTAAAATGTTTCTCAATCAAATATACAGACACGCTAAAAAGCAAGAATATAGAAAACATTCAGGACACATTCCGTTTTGTTTGAAATTATTCTGAAGAAAAGCTTACACATACTAACAATCCGTTACTCCATGAATATTATCCTTTACGAAGGAAATAATTAATTGTTTGTAAACGCTCCTTCTATTTTCTAACTGATATAAATTGTAATTTACAAACAAAAAAATGTATCATGGTTTTTGTTCAAGAAAAATCATGATATTTCTTATAACATTGTATCGTTATAGAGAAGATATATGAGATAGCGATTTCCAAATAATTTGACTCGTATCTATGAACGACGGAGATTTTGATTTTGCGTTTGATATATAATTCTATTTTAATAGAACTAGTATCCTATATGAACGGAACATATCAGACTTCGATTGATCGATATTTAAAAATTGTATGCAGTCAATATCAAACTCATAACATTCTCATATAAACTTATGTATAAACATATATTATGTCTCTTCTCTCCGTCCAAACACTAGAGTATAATTCATTTATCACTTTCTTCTTTCTTATAAATATGGAACAAGCGCCATCTATGTTATACAATTGGGCGCATTCTTGCTTTGACGTAGTATATTTTGCTAAAAGTTCATAGTAACCGCTAATCGTTTTGACTAAAGTTTCATGTATGCACACACAACACACACACACACACATATATATATATATATATGTATATATTATATATATATATATATATATATATATATATATATATATATATATATAATATATATATATATGTATGTATATATATATATATACATATATATACATATATATATATATATATATATATATATGTGTGTGTGTGTGTGTATAATCACGAGTATGCCTAGATTGAAACGATCGATTATATAAATTAACGTGATAACAAATGAACTGTACTTATTCAAATGTGTTCTATATACACAAAATTCGTCATATGTTTATATTCTGTTACATTTCGTTATGATTTCTTTCTCCTTATATATACAACACATCAGGCAATTCATACAGGGCATTTATTATCACTAGTTAACTCTAGAATGTTTCTTATGTACTCTATTACGTTGTGACCTATTAGTACCATTTTTCTCGGTGACATTAGAAACCTGGCTGGCGTTTGTACGATGATCGGACACCGATATCCTGAACAGCTTGATCTTCATGTGATCGCATATCTCGAGACACACTTGAGCACTATAGCGGAAGAGATCCAGAGTAACCCAGATCTAAACATACACATTTCATTACTTAAAAGTCGGGAGATCGTGAGGAAGATCGTCTCGCGTGAATGAAGAAAATTGCGGATAAACCCGCGACTTACGAAACACAGCCAAAGCACATAGTGTTCATTGATGAAAAAGTTGAAATATTGATTGAGGAATAGCATAGCTGGGCCGATTAGCGAACTGTCTAAATATTGCATTTCATTTTTGGTCATGTGAGCAACCTGCAAAACGGACATTAGAGGTAATGTGATCGTCGTGAGTGAGCGGCATATAAATTTGGTCGATACTCAATATACGCACCACTAATCTATTGGTAACTTTGGCCGCGACCATTCCAAATGAGAGTATATACAAAGCTGGATGATTCTCGTAGACGTGTTGAGCACTTTTCCTATATATTATAAAAGCTGGCACTACCACGAAGCTAAATGGTATAATTGGAGATAAGACGGACGTTCCCTGCAACAAAGTTGATCTTATGCGGAAACCTCGAAATAAGATCCAAGCGTGCGACTATGTGCAAATATTAATTCAAATCAGTATGGCTCTGAGAAACATACAAATATAGAGACATAGAAATATCGAAATATTTTGTTATAACTTAAATGCAATATATACTAGTCAAAGTAAAAGCGTTATAATTATTTTTAGAGAGAGATATATATATACAAATTTTTAATCGCGCGACGAAACTTAAAGAAAGATAATCGTGCCTTACAATTGATACACTAAAAAGTATCTTTACTACAAATATCAATATATTGTACGTGCAATCGATAAAGAAAATGTTGCAAGTCTTAAAGAAAAACAAAATGATATAGATCAAGGGACCTTAAAATCTAATTACAGAGAGAAATTAAATTTTAATTAATATACGTTTATCAATAGAATTAATTAGTTAAACTAGTATATAGTTAAAGTTAGTATACTATAAATAAATTAATATTATTGATAGAGGAAGAAAGAAAAAAAGAAAAAAGAAACTGTGTGTGAAAAAAGAATGCAAGCAATATATACTTAGATGACATATTTATAAAATAAAACCATTAGTTTACATAAAATATATATTATATGTCAAAATATTATGTGATAAATACAGAAAACGTTACTACTGCGGCAAGCAATATATAGCTTCTTACTACAGTTCGCTTCTATATTTGATTACAGATTTGTAATACACATGCAAGAAACCGGCCCAAAGTAATGACTGAAGAAACAACGAAATCAGAGGAATATTCAACAACTATAAGACAAAGGAGAAAGCGCAGGATAAGGATATACACGGATCTTCGTGAAGAATGTGGTGTAACAAATATATATATCAGCGTAAGTGAAAATCGTAATGTGATGAATAAATTTAAACGACGCTGTTAGACTTAGGCCCACGTTTTCTTTTCTTATCTTTTCAACACAATGTGAAATTTTACTCTGTTATTTCTAACAAAAGCCACTTTCAAATCGTACTAGGATTTATTATATGCATCAATTAAATCAATTTTAATTAATCGAATTTACTGTAAATAATAGCAGATACATATCGCGCTTGGAAATGTTACGCAAAACCTATTGTGCTTGCTTAAATGAGATGTCGTGTTTATGTTCTCTACAAGTGTGGGCCTAAATCACGGACTAAACAAAAAGTGCACTACACAATGGTCCCACTACTTTTCGACTGACTTACTGCGACGGTGGAGCCATTTTTTCCGACACCACCGGCGAGAATGACGGATATGCTGCTCTGTGCAAGTAAAATAGCGATGCCCACAGCAGCCCATAACGGAAACACCTTCACCTCTGTGCCAGTGTATGGCAACTGTATAAGCGACACGAAAGATCTCTTGATTAGTCGTCAGAGTCTACTATCGAAGGGACTTTTTTTTTTCTCTAATACTCCGTACTCCTGACATGTTAGTCTGTTAATAATTATCGATCAGGAATACGTGTTGGTCGCTTTTGAAACAATTTCGTGCTTTGTTAGTCACAATTTACAGCATTATAGTAGCTATTGGACATGTCCAATATGTTATACTCGGATATATTGTTATCGTTCATACATGGCTTTTGTGATTGCAGATGTAGATTGTACTTGTTTGTAACTGTGTAGTGACACCGGTTCCCTCCTCATCCGTCATCCGACGGTTAGACATAGGTCTATGTAGGAGTTTACATATGAGGAGAATATTGCGACTCCCGATTTTCTCTGCTATTAATATACTAACGCAAGGAAACTGTTTATACAATCTTCACCACCTGAAGGAAAGAAAATAAATTCTCTTTCATGGAACACAAGGATGGGATAGAGTCTATACAGAAAATAAAGGTGTTAAGGCCGTATATGCAAATCTTGCTGCTATCACGGAAAAATGTGAAATACGATTAGATACGTGTGCCAGGAACAATATTTAATACCGAGCCAGTATAGAAAGAGAAAATAATTTGAGAAAATTAATATTCTACCACTGGTGCGTCATTCGACCATACACGAACGTGTTGCTATCTTCTTCATCTTACATATAACGTACACACACCACGTTCCTTTGCAGGCATCGCTACTTTAAAAGAAAAAAAAAGTAGAAAAAAGAACTACATACATCGAGTTTTAATAAAGTATTATATATAAATATCTGTCGTTTAAACAGGTGTTTTCATCTGTTCGTTAGAAGTTGCGGTTGAAAAAAGTGTGCAAAATATTACACAAGATTTTTTTCTAATTTGATATTTTTTAAATTAATTAATTAATTGGTCACTTCTGTTCGGATTATTCTGTTATATTTGCATAATAATAGTATAGCCAGCATCATAAGCGTTTCCTGAGCAATATGGTAATTTGAGAAAAGACATGTTACATTGAGCTTCAATATATCAAATTTAAAAGAAGCAATAAGTTTACATATAAACTGTGCGAGATACTAAAACGTATCGTTCTATAATTATTTAATGCTACGTGGTCATACATCGGCGTTTAGTAATTCAATCGAGCACCTGAGCTCCCCAGCAGAGAAGAGATCAAAGACAGAAGAGAGCAAGCAAATAAAGAAAAAGAAAAAAAAGACGTAGGAGACAGAGACATCTCTACTGTAAAAAATCGACGAAATACGAAAAATACTCGCTATACGAGCGTCATTTCTTGGAACTTACTGCAATTGTGGAACCGTTTTTTCCAATCCCACCGGATTCAAAGACTTTACAGAATTCAAGAAACACGTGAACGTAGCCTGCATAAAAGATCACCGCTACGTAGTTACTGAGCGTGCCTACACCGAGCACAGGGATCTAAACAAGCCACAAGATCTTCGTTCGTGAATTCAATTGTATGTCATTGTCTTTTCGTTGTCGCGCGCGCGCGTGCGCGCATATGTGTGTGTGTGTGTGTGTGTGTGTGTGTGTGTGTGTACTATGAATTCTCTTTATAGTTGTACTATCTCGATTATATCTCGATATCACTTGTCGAGATCGCAATAGCATTGCTTTGGTTCGGGCTCAGTTCTATCTGTGGTCGTGTCATTGCACATATACGTGTGTGGAACATGCTTCTTTCTCATTATTATTATTATGAGCGCACAAAGTTATGGGGTACACGAGGGAGCAGCTGATCAAAATATGATAAGCCAAATGTCGGAGGCTATGTTCATATATGGTTTTTGAAAGAAATAAGTTCCCTTTATGCATGTTACATCAGATATGTTAATTATGAAGATTCGGTATATTGTTCACGGATAAGGTGTACACAAAGATGTAATGCTGTAATAGAACTTTCTTCAGAAGCATAGTGTGAAGCGAAATATAATGTGCATATGAATCCTGCTAAGATCATTACAAATCACTATTAAAAGAATGAAGTTTACGCAATATTTGTTTACAGAGTATTGATCGACATAATTTCTCGTTCCTCGCGCGTTCCTCGTTTATCTGCTTAAACTTTGTCTTCTTAAATATCTTTAGCTAAAGAGATATCAAAAGTATGGATATATAATGGATCTATGTGTACTTTGCACAAACATGTTTAATGTAAACAAATATCGCAAATTATGCATTGAATGCACGATTCGCTCTAGAATCGTGTAAGTAATGCTGCTGTATCATACAAATTTATACAAAATTTGAATTATCAATATTCCTAAATTATAGTCGCTAAGTTGAAATTGTTTCAAAAGAGCGTTTTCAAATTGGCAAGAAAATTGTTCACCACGAATAAACATCAAAAGACAAACCACAAAGGGCGGACTAAATATCTATTTCTTACATTAAAAGAGGGAATATATATTACAGGGAAGATTGTGTGTTTTGTAATACACCGAAGCACTAATGACTCACTGGGAAACGTCAGAAATACGATTTCGCACATGAAATGAATACAATCATCTCAGTTGGATAATGACACAATTCATAATGAATTCTATATAGTTATATAAAATTCATCGTGAAAGTCGCAGGGGCATGGAAATGTCGAAACCAAGAAGATGGGGGGACGTAATTTAGTAAGAAACGGGGAAGTAGAAAATGCGTGTTAAATGAGTAAATATTTTGCAGTAAAGAAGTAATCTCAGCGCCGCTCCTCATGCCATGCTGCTCCCATTTCTGCATGTTCAATAAAAGATTCTAGTTAACGGACTTACAGCCACAGTGGAACCGTTCTTGCCCACTCCTCCGGTGAAAATCACCGAAAATATGGGACACAAATTTGCCACTGCACACACGACTGTTAAAACTCCTAGTAAATACTTAACTAGAAAACCATCTAAGTATGGTATCTGCAAGAAATATTTTCATTAAACTCATATAACGACATTGTTCTCGTTAACTTTACTACGTTTCATGAGCGCAAGGGTTCAAGGAGAGAGAATCTCGGAGTCTCTTGAATAAAAAACATTTTTAAGCAGCGCGATTATAGTAGCAATTATGTAGAATGAAACTAGATGTAAATATCATAAGATGTAAATTACGGAAAATCAGATTTAGAATCTCGAATGGGGTATATGTAATTTCTCATCACATAGACTCCACATATCAAAGTGGGAAAATAAAGCTTGAACCAAATTTTGGGATATGGCCTGACACGTCGAAACGATGAAAGAATGTTATGCCAAAGAAATGTATGTCCGAGTTGTCTGCTGAGAATTATATCACTGCAAAGCTATGAAGTTATGTAAAGGTACATGAAAACTTGTGCGAACACCTAGCGACTTCAGCGATATCGGGATATCTTAAAGGCGTACGAAGTGCCCGATATCGCTCTCGATATATATTATCTTTCTTCATCAAGCACTTCGAACACCTCTTCTCTAAGACGTTTGAATTAAATATTGCAATTACTTACCAGAGGAAATGTACAACACACAGTAACAAGCAAAAGTTTCATAGTAACATTCATAAATGTTAAACGCGAAACTGTGACCGCTTATTGTGTAATACAAAATATAATAGAAATATTAGCAAGTATAATGCATAAATATGAGCAAAAATATAATACAAAAGTATAGAAATAGATAAAACAGTATATATATAAAACATATATGGATTTTTCATCTTTCATATAATACATATGCATGTGACTTGACATATAATTTTTGATTCAAGATTACCTTTTGCTTCTACTATGAGCTACATTTCCTTCAATACAGAATTATTCATTATCTGTCTTTGATAAAAAATATAACTACATAGCTTCCGCTTTCGCGATAACAGAATGGCCCTGTACAGTGTAAGCAATTACGACATGGTCGAACGAATACCTTGCGTTAGCAGTAATTTACATGCGCATGGACGTAATCGCAAGGGGAGCAAGGGTAGGCGCTTGCCCACTCCTAAATTGTAGAGGAGAGAAAAAGATTATCGTTCTTACGACAAAAAATTAAACGTTAATTGGTCAATGCATAGCTCACACGTTATCAGCGTGATACATTCTATGTGCAAGAACCATTAGTGGCATTCCGCGTCGACGTAATTGTGATCAACAATGTCTGAAAATCGTCTCAATGGATTATATATGTTTACAGAAACATGGAGCTCGTGAAAAGAAAAAAATTTGAAGAAGAAATATTTAAAAAATTCATTGAAAATCCCCAAAGACTGACATTAAGTATTTTAATAAGTTTTTTGTGAAGATATATTTTTGGCTCCCCTGACTGAAATACGTCCTGCGTACGCCCATGTACATGAGTGAAAACTATGATAGTTGTGCATGATTGCGTTCTAAAGCAAATGAGAAATTTATTTCATATTCGTCATACTATAGCCGTGCAGAACACCGATAAGAATGCTAATAAATTACACAGCACATTCTACCAATTGCTACACAAGATATCCTTGGCATGGAATATATATAATACAGAAAATACAATCAAAAGTGATACCACCTCCATCATCCAGATCTCTGGGCCAAAGATTGCGGAAATCAGATGAATAAGTATGATCGTAAATTGTGCTTCCGTTACATCCACTTTACCGAATCTTAAGGAACCTATTAAAAAGGAAAAAAACTATACAATAAAACTTTATACAATAAAATGAAATATTTTAATTGCTATAAAAATATTAAATATTATAAATATTAATGCATTGAAATAAAATATTTTAAATTCATTATACAGAAGCCTTGATAACTACATCAATTTAACTTTATGGGTTTTGTACCTGAAACATAGGTCTGCCAATGAGCACAATAGAAAAGTGTCATCGCACAGAAACACTGGAAAAACATCCACATTGGATAATATCCCAATTGTACTGCTATACATGCCGATAAAGCAACAAATACTGGAAGAAATATATAATAAATATTACTTATTCAAATCACCCATTTATTAAAATGAAAATACAAAAGTATCGTGATTGCTTACCTGTTGATATTGAATCACATCCATGATCGAACAGTTCACCCAATGGTGTAGATGTGCCAGTTCTTCTGGCTTGTTTGCCGTCAATGGCATCTAAGCTCTGGTATATAAATAGACCAAGTGCACATAAAAAACATGCCCATCTAGGTGCCTAAAAAAAACAAAATATAATGTTAGTAACAACTTATGCTTTATTAGGAAATTTCTGCAAAATCCTAAACTGCTACACAGAAGATCGCAAGTGATGCAGGTATTATATAAAATTTCTTGTGAAAATATATTCATCCAAAATTCATCATTCTATTTTAAAAATTTTAAACAGTCAAAATTTGAAATGACTAGATGAACATGCTCATTCTGCAATCCAACATGACAGTTATATAAGAGAAAAACATGTCTCTGTTACCACAGTAATTAGTGTGTTATTAAGCATGTTTAGCATATTCATATTTACATATACTGTATTTGCTCTCCTTGAATGATTCTCCTTCATCATAATTTTAACAAAAGCAGAGGCATTATAATTGTTATCTATTAACATTGTAATAAGTTCTATCATGTAAATCTATCAATCAAATCTCTATTAAACACATTCTATAAGTGTTACAGATACTTCTGTTTCTTAAACAACTTGCTGTATAGTTCATCTTGAAAAATTACAAAAGCTCTAACACACAAGGTATGATAGATCCTATTGAACTAATCAATCCTCAAGCACTAATACAGAACACCAATGATATCTACATAAAATTTTCATCAACTTTTTATAGTACTATCACAATAGTAGTTTAAAGGTAAAAATTAGATGCAAGAATTCAAATATCAGATACAAACATACCTTGTGGCAGCATCAAAACATAAAACTACAACACTGCATTTAAAGATTGTCACAACACAATAAAGTGCAGCGAAACAGTCCGCTAGACCAGGGCTACGTGGTGAAAGCAGGTTAAGCTGGGGCTGCTTAGCCTACCTACCTCAGTCCTCGCGTCCGGACTGTAGTAAACGAGAATCAGTGTGGTGACGATGTTGACGATAAGGCCGAGCACGGTGATGAGGTTGGGCGCGAGCCAGAGCGGCACCTTGCTGACTAGCCAGTCCCACCAAGGCTGCAACAGACCGTCCAGGAGGCTATTGGTCGTACAGCTATACTTGTGCTCGCTCAACCGCTTCAATTGACCGGGCGACAGCAGCTTCTCCTTGTAGAACTGCATGCTTGGCGCGCGTTAGAGTTCGTGCGATGACAGGACGAAAAGAAAGGAGAGAAACAACAACACCTTTGTCTCGTAGCCCAACAATCTCGCGAGAAAATTCGCACGGCACTCACTGAACACCCGCGATAAAACGACTAAACATAACAAGCGATTGTCGCGGCGTACACGTACGACATCTCTACGCGGTCTGCTCCTACGCCGGAAGCTGTCGTGGTCACATCGCCTGACTAACCGGAACCACCGAGCGCTGCATGCCAGCGGAAAACGTGCATGTCGCGCGAACACGCGGCCAAAGTTGGAGAACGCGAGGGAAAAAGAAGGGAAATTTGTTTATAGGCAGTTCATTAATTCACAATTATTATCGGCCATTGGCGGGTGAATTGATACATAAAAGTATGATTCATATAATTTATGTGGAATGTTTATATATATATATATAATTGTTCCGCAAGAAATCATTTATGGATACAGATGTCTATACTAGAAGTGTGATCCATTAAACGCTGCAGTTACTTTGAAACGCCAAATAAATCAATCATGGCTTCTCTTTATGCACTTCAAAGCGTTTGTGGCGTTTAATGAATCGCGTCCTAAATCGTTAACTTCGTCAAAAGAAGTGAAGTTGGCAGGATTTCCGGTTTCAGCCATGACACTTTACAAAAATGGCGAGGTGTGTTCAAAAACGTTAGGGCCTTTACCGACTTAGCTTTTGGCTCAGACTTACTAGACAAAGACAGAGCGCTATTCGAGACCTACAAGCATGCTCTCTCATCCCGCAATACTCAAAAGGTAGCACGCGTTCCAGGGCCCCTATTCTTGAAATTTTTGCGTATATGTAATTTTCATTGCGCAGCCTATTTTATGGTATGATTAAACCTGCGCAGTAAAACTTATGTATACGCAACTATTTCAAGAATAGGGGCCCAGGTAGTATATATTTGGGAATACCCGAGTGACGTTTCCGGACGCACCTCGGCGATATATAGTATACTAATGTTCATTAATTGAGTCCTTTTTTTATGTAGAATAGTGTACATGAGCGTACCATCTCCAAGCGCGTTCATCTACACTTGTTTATACTCAAAAGACTCAATTAATGAACACCAGTGTACGTATAAAACCAGCGGCACACGGTGCCATAGATGTCTGTACTAAATTAGATTGCTAACAGGCTATCTAAAAGCATACAACGGCTTGTGTTCGATAGAGTTTCCTAGAGAGAAGAGAAAGAAAGGCCGTGTGCACACATATGCGTGCATTTATCTATAATTCACATCACATCACTGTAGAAAATCTGTGCATAATACATGAAACAGAACGCAGCCAAAGTGAGAAAATCATACTTTTTAAAAATTAAAAACTTTCTGATCCGTCGTTGATATATACTACTTAAAAATTATGGTCTGGCTTACATGCCGTTGAGTCGTACTACGACCTCGAAAACAGTGCCTCGTAGTGGAGAATTCGGAACTTCGAAGACTTTCAGTCTGTTCTTTTCAGCTTCACTGCTGAACTGGTGCAATAAGTTAAAGTGAGACAGGTATATGTTTTCTCACTCTAACTTATCGCACCAGTTCAGCTGAGAAGAACAGACCATTTATTTTCAAATAATATCATTTAACGTGATTCAACGACAGATCAGATTTTTATTTCCAAATGCAAATCAACGAAGGAATAGATGAATTATTTATTCTTTAACCGCACGACCAAGCAGCGGATAAATTTTTAATTCTAATAGCGATATATCGTTTATCTCCGGAACGTGAATTCGCATAACCTCTGTGTACAATGACGACTTTACTGTTAGGTTTTTCGAGACTTTTTAACTACACGGCGGGTAATTGCTTAAGAAGAGTAGGACCAGCCGCGATTTGCAAACAGCTTTACCCCGGTATGTGATAGTAATTAATTAAAATCACTTCCGACACATACAAACAGCACGATTCTGATAAGCGATGTGATATATCAAACAAACTTAACCTCTCCTTCCGTATCTCTAAAAAAATTACTTTTTCTATATCTTCAAATATTCAATTTATTCTAATTTCTCAAAATAATTTAGAATTATCCATATTTTATTGTCCATATAAGTTATCGATATAATTATGTCTGACTAATTTTGTGTAAAAAAGAAAATCTGTAAATTTATTCAATAAGATTTTTTTAAACACACTACAAGATTAACAAACAAAAAATATTAATCAGTTATAAATCAGTAATAATCGATATAAAAGAATAACTATTCATTTTAGCACTAAGATTATGGGAGCAACCAGTGGCAGAATATCGTAGAATAATACCAACAAGACAAAAACGTTTTCATCTAAACCCCAGACCAGCATGGATGAAGTCTGTCCCAGATTATGAAACACAAATACAGGAATGGGATGAGGAGAAGGAACAAATATGCACTGGTCATTAAGATATTATATATAATTTTGTATGAACAGCACTTTAAGTTCTTAATGATCTTTGCTATATGGAGTCTAACATGATTTCTTGTTTACAGACGTGACAAACGAGATCAACAACCAAATTGTGATGAACAGGACTGGCCGTTTGTTCGCGGTTGTACAGATATGTGGGAAACAATTTAAAGTAACAGAGAACGATATTATAATAATTGAGGGATTCTGGCCACCGAATATTGGTGAACACTTGAAGCTGGAAAAAGTGCTGCTCGTTGGAAGCACCGATTTCACTCTTGTAGGAAGGCCACTCCTGAACAGAGAATTGATCTCCGTCGACGCGATAGTCATTGAGAAAACTTTGTCTCACACAAAAACTCGCTTTAGGTTCAGAAAGAGGAAACAGTATCGTCGTATAAACTGTAAGATGCTAAATATAAAAGCGCTCTCCCTTTCGCTTTCTTACTGCTTTTGTGTCAATATATTTCATGCTTCTTATTTCAGTTTACAGAATGCAGTATACAATGCTGCGAATCAACTCCATAGCGATCAATGGAAATATTAATGAGAAGAAAGAAGTAGAAGGATTAGATAGAGTATATTAACAAGACATAATACATATATTATTAAGAAGCAGATTTGAATTTGTATTATATACTGTATTGTAAAGGAACGTGAGACTCATTTAGTTGAGATTGAATGATTATTTAAGTTTATATCTCTTTTATTCCAATCGCCTATAAAAGTCCTCTAATTCATTCGTCGTATATTCACACATCCTGTATCGATGAGCCATAAGATGTAGTAAGTTAGCAAAACACGCGTCACATAGTAAAAACATATTGCATTCTTGAGTTGCAAAAGATTTTGAAAAACAAGTTCTTTTTCATAGCATCAAAATCATCTTTTGATAATCTATATTATTGTTATTAATGACTGTAAATAATTGAACGATAATTAGAAATAATCAGAATTGAATTGAGATGATCAGAATTGATTGAAATATTAGCAATGATACATCACATTGATGCTGAGTCTATTTTCTATCGCTGAGCTAATGTATAGTTTTGAAATTTAAAAAGAAACAGATAAAATTTGATGAAAGAAAGATGAGAGAGAACTAATGCAGCCAGTTCAGCAATAGAAAACAGACCCAGTTTCTAAGATGAAAGTGCTAATATACGATTCAATGAGATCTACAATGAAAATTTAAGCTTTAAATTGAAGATTTAAGCTTTCAAGCACGGTTGAACATTCTAGTAAAAGTCGATTGTGGTTTGTCAATTTTTTAAAACTTAAAGATTAAATCTTCATTGTAGATCCCGCTTTCGTAAATGTTCTGTAAAAAATATCTGTTGCGCATGTGACCGTTCAACAATACACTCCCACGACTCGCCGACGCTTCACTGTACCAATATGATAACATTTCACGTGGAAGGCACCATGCGCGACATCTAGCACGCGATAGATACCTCGAGCAGAACAGAGCGGCGACGGCGACGGCAGTGACGGTAGAAATGTCGCGCGAGGTGGTCGATTAATCGGTTGTTTCGCTTTTTCCGATCGGCAATTGTGTGTACAACACATTGCGTCCGCGTCCCTTGCGCCTGGACCGCGCATTTTTCGCAAGACACGAGCGATTGCGCGCGAATTTTTGCAAATCGCGCAAAAAAACTTCTCGCGCATGCCAGAGAAACCGACACACTCTTCGGCGGGACTCACGCACGACTCGACCGTCGACGACGCAAGGGAGAGCGGGAATTTCAGTAGTAAGTTTCAGCGGCTGGAAGAGTATCTCTCTTTCTCTCGCTTGCCCGGAAAACCGAAGGATCCTTCGAGAGTGTCCTTCGCGATTCCGGATCGCGGATCTGTAAACTGGTTTCGAGGACGCTCGAAATTTTTCCCGAGTGAATTTGAAACCTTTCTCGAAGCCTTTCTCGATTCGAGCGGGACTGGTTATCGCTTCGTGCTTGGTTCGTTGGTCGATTTCAGACTCGCTACTGTGAAAGGAACGTCGGGACTCTCTCTTGAAAATCGCGCAAGATAATTTAAGATTACTCCTTATTTCATATTACCTTAATATAGTTTTAAGCTTTCGTGGTGTGTAGAGAAATACTATTATATATATATATATATATATATATATATATATATATATATATATATATATATATATATATATATAT